ATTAAAAATTATACAGGGCATTTAATAGAGAATTCCAACATATTCGTCTAAACTGCCATTACAATAATATTACTGCAGGTGAAATGCTGTTTAAAAGGGGGACAAAGAAGTATTTAAATGCTTACCAGCTAACTACAGTTTATAGGATTTGGAGTGACACTAATTTTAACCTTTATGTCTCACAATATAAAGCGTGATTAATGAATGCTTTTCATTAATTGGAAATGACACCAAAATAAAATGAATCATTTCTCTAACTGTGTTCAAATTAAACTGAAGCAGTGCAGTTTTTGTGCTGTGTGAGATCCAGCATCTTATTAGAATTTTAAATGGAAACATTCTTTTGACAACGAAAGCCCAGTTTTGGCAAAGGATGAGGTAATGGATGCTTATAACTTAAATTTAGAGGATTCTTAATCCCAAACTGCTGTTTGCCAAGGTAATGCTATATGCATTCATTTCCCAATGTTTATTTGTCAACAAGTCAAATGATCCTGGTGACTCAGTCTTCAGAATGCATTGGCACTAAAACTAGTTTCTAAAAGAACGCAAAATTATCTACTAAATACAAATAGTAATAAGTTAGTAGGTTAGAACAGATATACCTGATGTGGCAGAAAACTCAAGGTTTCTTTTGGAATCTGGTGGGAATAAGTCAAGACACCAGCCAGACTTGCTGGAACCAATAGTTAAGCTCCTGGCTAAAATGACTCTACCTGTCTTCGTTCCAAGGTAAGATAATTACTTAAGAGACATTAAAAAATGATATTTTTTTTTTGTCGTCCTGGAAATCCAAGTGATCAGTAAAGGTTACTTTGCAATAAGAAGTTTCTATTCTACCTCTGGCCAAAATTCCAGTCCTCTTTCTTAATCATGAATTGAGCTTTGGATAGGCTGTCAACCTGGCATGTCTTTGAAATTCCATTTAATCCATATTGCCACTATCATTATCATCCACATCATATTTACACTGGCCGCCACAACCACATCTAGTGGCTTGATTGGCTCTTTGGGTGATTCTTGGCCATAGTTTGGGGAAAAGAGCACCTTCTCTCATTTACTGTTGTAGGAGATGATTTGGTTCAGATGAGGAAGTGCGGGTGTGGTGTAGTGGTTAAGAGTGGTAGACTCGTAATCTGGTGAACCGGGTTTGCATCTCCGCTGCCCCACATGCAGCTGCTGGGTGACCTTGGGCTAGTCACAGTTCTCTGAAGTCTCTCAGACTCACATCACAGAGTGTTTGTTGTGGGGGAGGAAGGGAAAGGAGAATGTTAGCTGCTTTGAGACTCCTCAGGGTAGTGATAAAGCGGGAAATCAAATCCAAACTCTTCTTCTTCTTCTTCTTCTTCTCTTCTTCATGCAGCACAGAGTTGAACTTTGGAATTTGCTAGCACAAGATGTCGTAATCACCACCACCTTAGATGGCTTTAAAAAAGGGATTACAGTGGTGCCCCGCAAGACGAATGCCTCGCAAGACGGAAAACTCGCTAGACGAAAGGGTTTTCCGTTTTTTGAGCTGCTTCGCAAGACGAATTTCCCTATGGGCTTGCTTCACAAGATGAAAACGTCTTGCAAGTTTGTTTCCTTTTTCTTAACACCATTAATACAGTTGCGACTTGACTTCGAGGAGCAACTCATAGAACGCAGTGTACATAGTAGCCTTTTTTGAGGTTTTTAAAGACTTTGGTGATTTTTGAAGCTTTTCCAAAACTTCGTTGCAGCCATTTGGTAAGTTAAGCTTTTAAAACTTTTTTGGGGGGTTTTGGATTTTGGGTTGGGGTGTTTGGAATTCAAGGACTTGGTGTTGGGGAGGGGTTTGCAAGAATCTGGAAGCTTGTGTGGTTTTTTCCTGCATTTTTATGATTTTCTGTGACCATTGGGGCACTCTGCTGTTTTTTTTAAAAAAATTCTGGGTTTGAATTTTGAAATGCTCTTTACAGTATGTGTGACTTTAAAGAGCACTTAATAAACTCTTGTTGTACCAAATTTGGCTTTGTTTGGACTTTTTTTGACCATAGGAACGCATTAGTTGATTTTCAATGCATTCCTATGGGATTTCGTGCTTCGCAAGACGAAAAATTCGCTAGACGAAAAAATTCGCAGAACGAATTAATTTCATCTTGCGAGGCACCACTGTACACAGATTCACGGGGTGATATTGATCTTAGTCATATTCACTGAAATTAATGGAATTGTTAAACCAATTGATTTTAATGAGTCTTATAGGAGTATGACTAACATTGGATATCATCCCATGGAATGTAATGGCTGCTAATCATGTTCTTTCCTGGTATATGAATTCAATGAAACACAAGATAATGTACTGAAAGTCATCTAGCACAGAAAAAATGAAATCCAGTATTTAAAATTCATAACATTCAAACCACACATGGTCAAAATTAATGTTTGCAAACCTTGCCCTCTCTAATATTACAATATTTGTTACACTGTGGAATTTGAAACAAGTTTATTGTCTATAAATGTCATGCTTGCCATGATCGTGTTTTGAGTTCTGTGGTAGAAGATCTGGTGGGTAATTTACGAAAATCCCTTTATGCTATATCTAAAGGACTGTGGGAGATTTGAAACACTTGAGGCTTGTTGCTTGGCAAACCTCTGGAAAATTACAAATTTTACTGGCTGAATAATACTCAAACCCTTGTCTTCCAACCAAAACCAAATTTTACAGTATCCAGGAATCATGAGATCACACATTTTGCCTAATAGTGCCTCTTAAAAATCAAGACTTAGGTTCCAGTTTTAAGCTTGTAAATTCATATATAAGATTCATAGACAGCATAAGGGCATTTGAACCTATAAAAATATAACACATGAATAAATACTTAATCACAACTTAAATGCAAGATGAGAAATCAAGATCCATTGGCCTAGATGTTGGAAGTCAAAATGCTGCCATAGCTAGTAAACAACACCAAACTAGAGTGACACATAAAAATAAAAGATTAAGAGTGGCATTCGAAGAAGGATGAAAAATAATTACACCAGGACTGAAAATTTATTTCTTGGCATTGCAAAATATAATTTTTAAACATACCACAAAGTTTGGAACATTAAAATGCTAAATATGTGCTGAAATTTGATGGAGTCCTTTTGAGAGGAAATGGACTTCATCAATGATTGGACGTCCATACAACATTGAATTGGTTTCATACAGCAGTGACATGTGAATACACACACAAACAGGTTTGCGTCAGATAAAATGAGAAATGACGGTTCCCTGCTATATGAATGATCCTGCATGATCCTCAGGCTTGCACACACACCCTTTTTATGCATACCAGAGGAAGAGATTCAAGATCTCCAAGATGTCTGAACATGAGGACCTGTGGTTTGGTTGAACTGTGATTACTGAGAAGAAGTCAGGATCATGGGGAACTGGTCCTTGAAATTCATACCAAAGCTACTAGTGACTGAGTGCACCTAGGTCCCCTAAATTCTGCTTTGTGCTTGATTTGTAGGGGGAAATGCAAACAGTCCTCCAGCCAAATTTCCAATATCACTCAGCCATCAGAGGATTGTTAGAGCCAAATAGACCTGAAATAAAGGCATGCAGCTTTTACTTTTATTTATGTAGACAAATGCTGAGAAGCTACATTCAACTCATAGACCAGCTGTATTGCTGGATACTTACATAGCTTGCTAACTGCCTACAGTAAATTCATGCTGAGCAGTAATCCATCTATCATTACAGTTACAGGTGTTTGGTTCTTGCCTATAGACGGGATCTGTAGTACTGTCGGCAGTCACCATATGGAATATCTTACATGTTGTTTGCAGTGGTAGCAAAACTGAATTGTTAATCACACTGTCATAAAACATAAAGCCATGGAAACCAAATAAAGCAATAGGGGTCCAGCTTTGAAAACTGAAAATGTGCAGGAGGTATGCTTTAAGATGTGCAGAGAATTCATTCCTTGATAGATTCACTGTGCCGAGTTTGATGGTGAATGAGCAACAGACCTTGGTTAATAGCTTGAGGGCTACAAATTATTATGATGTGACGGGAATAATCCACAGAGCCTGAAGATAAGGTTTTCCTGAGTTGGTGCCCCAAATTTGAAAACATTTCTGCTTGAATGTTGAATGTGCCTTATCTTCAGAGCACTCTTACCATACTTGTGCAAAAACATTTTATGCTTGTTGGGAAGAGGGATGAGCTCAGAGTATTTAGTTGGAGTTTTCAAACCACTAACTACAAAGGAGTTCTCTACAGAGGATCAGCTGGAAACTATTTACTCCAAAACAAGTGTTTTGCAAAACACAACAATATCTTAGTTTTTCCTACATAAACCATGAGACTCCTTATCAGCTTTCTCCAGATTGTTTAGGGATTGTGATATCAAAGCTCAGGATGTTTGACTGTTGTAACATTTTTGTATGCGGCTGTCACTTTTTGGGATGTGATTTTCCCTGGCATAATGAATTTGTATGATATTTTCACTAACATATGCATTTATATGCACACTTTACACAAGTATATGATATTTTTGTATATGTTCCTTGTCTGGAGAACTGAACTGCAAAATTCAGAGAAGTGTGAATTTTGGAAGGATAATTGTGCTTCAGCTAGCATCTTGTTGTAGAAAGTGCAAATTAAGCAAGTTCTCTTTTAAATGGGAACTGTTTCATATTTCTCCTCCATCTCTACATATGAGTGGAACCCAGTCTTCTCCTGCTTGCCTGCATTTGCATATATCTTAAACAGAAATCCAGCATTTTTGCACATATGCAAGCTTCGTACATGAGACGTTGGGTTTAAGTGTTTTGTTTGCATTTACCTATGTACAAAAATATGAAAAAGAGAAACCTGTTTCTCATATATTAACCCTCAAAAAGTGTAAAAATAAACAATAAAATACAATTAAAAATAAATATGAATATTTAATGCATACATGCCACTCACCACCTGAATGAAGCTCATGGACCACTGGTGGTACCCAAAACACAGTTTGTGAACCATAAAGATCTATATGGAGGAAGGGCCTTGAAGAAGAAGGGCGATGAATTTCCCATCAAATTTTCATCGTTGGACAGCAGGCTAAACAAGCACAGCTGGGGTGGGAAGGAGTGTTATCTGGTGACAATATATCCCAATATGGCCAGATATATATATTATATTGTAATTTGTATCTTTACATATATTATTAGCATTTGCAAACTTTATGCAAATATGTGTCTGGATTTATTTTCTTTTTGAGTGATATGTATCTTCTTTTCTGGTTGTAAGTGGCCACTCAAGTTTTCTAACATGAACATATCCCATGCTTAAATCTCTTCCACTTTCGCTTGCCTCAAATAAATAAAGTGACCGTGCAGGTTGGCAAACTCTACCTGCCTATAAGTTGAGGCAGATGTAGATTCAGCTGCTAAACTGTAGGATGATGTAAAGAAATATATGCTGCTCAATACTCTTTTTTAAATGGTTGAGTTTCTGCTGAGTCTAAGTATTCTTTGAACATATCAATAATTCAAAAGTTATTCTTAGAAAAGTCTGATTTTCATCTCTGTGCAAAGACTGCTTGTAGACTACAGTGCTACTATTCAAGGCTTGTTACTGATAAAATTAGAGAGAGAAATGTCATAGCAAAAGATAGAGAGTGAAAAAGACAGAGCAAAGAAAATGTGCAAAGAAAGTTGGAAGTAATGCTGGAGGAGTTTATTGGTAAGTGGCATTTGAGATTTCCCCCTGTTTATTTGGGGGGGGATTAAGTGTGTGTGTGTGAGAGAGAGAGTGAGAGAGAGAGAGAGAGAGAGAGAGCGCGCGACAATGCTATTTCCTGGGCAATTTTGAATGTGGATATGCTTACACACAAATAAGCAATAACTAGTTTTGTTTGACTGGAGGAGACATGGTTGGCATTCCTGATCATTGCAGGAACTCATAGATTACATCGGTGATGAAATTTGTGAACCCCACACTGAGCATTACAGCAGAAGCAGGGAATTAAACATGGAAGGCATTTCTGCTTATGAGGTTCTTGCAAAACAATACGAATCAGCACTGAAAATTAGCAATATCAGAATTTTCTGTTGGATATTAAGAGTTGACTGTTAAGGACTTTTATTCCTCACTAGCTACACATAAGCAGTCTCATGCCTAGCATCTCTGAGAGCTAAAGAAATTAAAGATCCTATTAACCCTTGAAGGAGGATTACTCTGAAACTGATGGAAACTTTGTATGCTAAAGCATTTCTGCAAAACGGTGTGGTGGTCTAGATCTGGGGTGGGAAGCCTCCATGTCCATGAACCAGATGCAGCCCTCAGTCTAATCCCATCCACCCCACAGTGTCAGAAGGGGATTGGGTATGTTTCCCCCCTTTGTTTGCTTTTTGAGAAGGATTGGTAGGCCGCTTTCTTTGTGGTAGTGGCACAACTGCAGCAGAGGCTAGCTGGGAACCACTTCCCTCTTGCCTACTCCATCTGCAAAAATCTGTCTTGTCTCCTACTCTTGAATCCATAATTCCAGTGTTAGGTACAGTGATGAAGATGGAGGGAGCTGAGATGAGGCAAGGCAATCAGCCAGACCCAGGACAGGAGGAGGAGCTGGTTGAGGTAGAGGTTGGCCAAGGATCTTCCTCTTATCTTTTCCCATCACTAACACTGTGCTTTTGCCTTTCAGGATGAAGAGGAGGAGGGTTTCTTACATCTCTGCCCCCATCTATTTTCCAACATCTCTCTCAATTTCTCAGGTCAGAAAAAGAGGAGGGATTGCAGCAAGAGAAGAGCGGCTTCGCTCATGATCTGCTCTGCTCAGTGTTGGCTCCTACCCTTGGTTTACAATCCCCATGAATAAACAAACCTTCATGGGGTGTGGGAAGCTGTCTGGTGCTAGTCTAGAAAGCCAGGCTTACAACTTCAAGAAGTGAAGTTCATGAGCCTCATTTACATTATGAAATCTTTTTGTGGCCTTAGGGAAGTAATCATGTCAGGCCTCTGTTTTCATCGGTGCAACATGAATTATACTAGCCTGCCTCTATAGGTTAGTTAAGGTGAACAAACATGAGAAGTTGAAATGACCAGTAGTCAAATTTAACATTTTGGCAAGACTGATCCAAGGCAGCCTGCTATCCATTATCTTATTCCTGGAAAAAGAAAAGTGGCCGAGCCATTTGTTTAATGTTACCCATGTTTCAGCAATGGTTCCAAATGGTGAGTGTGTGTGAGATATGTAGTCATTTCAACCTTCTTTTAGTAAGTTCCTCCCCACCCCTTCTGCACTTTTCTTTACCTCTGCCCCATCTCCCATTGCTCTCATATTTCCCCACAGCTTTACCTTATGTGGAAACCTCGTCCATGTTCATATGAATATGGAAACCTTCCAAAATAGCAGTGCTGAGATGTACTTGGATTACTCCCTAGAGCACCTGAAATGCCAGGAAAGAAAATCAGATATATTTGGCATCAGATCTGAAACACAAGGTCATTATATGGACTATTAAATTTTGATAATATAGGATAATAAAGATGTTGGTGGAACTAGATCAGAGATCACATGTTTTAGAGAACTTATAAGATGTATTTCAGGTGACTTCATTCAGGCTGAAATAATAACCAGAGCTATTGTATGAAGGGCTGCTGAAGCACATATTTGGGACCCAAAAAAAGTGGATTCAGACCTGAAAAGAGGAACATGACTGTAATCATTCCACCTTCTTTTGTTATATCCAGACCCCTGCCATTAGCTGAGCATTCACATCAAAGCACCCTTACAAATATCCTTTTTTATTTTCACGGAACCCAACAGCTGCACAGTAATAAAGGTTTTCTTTGCATTGTACAGTCCCTCTCAAGGCCCTTGTAAACCTTGGTGCTGTTGGAGCTCTCCCGGGATTATTCTTGATCTAGACTGTGGGGTGGGTGCAGGAAATTGAATGTATGAATACTGTTTCATATTAGGGATGGGGAGACATTTGGTTTGGTTTCCATTTTGATGTGAATGCACCTAATTTGCATGAGCCGAACCAACATGCGGACTAAAGCACAGCTCTTTTTCGAAATCCATATACTGTATTCCAAATTTCTATGATGCAGTTCTTCAGCCTAATAATGCGTACAAGAATATGCATATTAGGGGGTATTGTGCTTTAAAATGTGTATATTGTGGACATGTTAAATAGCATTATATTATTGATTGATTTACCAGTCCTATATGTTGCCCTTTGGTGGTAAGTATACCTCAACAAAAACATAAAAGCAATACCATAAAATACAGGTCAAATATAATAAAAAAATTCATAAATGTAAAACACAATAGGAAAAAGCAGTTTTGAATTATTTGACACTTCCAGACCAGTCCAATTGTATATCAACTAACAACTCTTCACCGTATCCCCTCCAAAAGTCTGCTAAAGCAGACACAGCTCAATCTGTTTCCTGAAAGAATAAAATGAAGAGGCCTCAGTGAGGTGGGAATTCCCCACATGCAGACCCCTTCCCTTGCGTTATATGTACCTCCCTCTATGAAGAAGGCCTTGTCTGCAGATCTCAAGTCATGGGCGGGTCTATATGGGAGCAGGCATTCTCTCAGACATTCGGGCCCCAGGGCTTTGAATGTAAGGGTAAGCATTTTAGAGGAAATTACTTGCAAAGATGTGCAGGTTAGGCAAAAGAACCTACAGTAATGTGTATATTAAGAGAAATGCACACTAAAGTGCTGACAGTTTTTTTATGATGACTTTAAAAAAACCTGATACCAAAGCATCAAACTCCACTTAACACAAGCCTGCTCTGAATCCCTTTTAGGACTCCATTAATCACTAACAAAATATATACAGTGGTAGCTTGGTTTACAACCATAATCTGTTCTGGAGGTCTGGTTGTAAACCAAAACAGGTTGTAACCCAAGGCGCGCTTTCGCCAATGAGGCTTCCCCCCCCCAAGGGTTGTAATAAAAAAAAAAGAAAAAAAGGGTTGTAATAAAAAAAAAAGGGACACGCACTTCTGGGTTTGACGTGGTTGTAATCCAAAATGGTTGTAATCCAAAACGGTTGCAAACCAAGGTACCACTGTACATTATTGAAATTAACAAGTATTAATTGCAAGTATTTTTTTATCTGTGTGGCAAAACATTTGGCTTCCATCTTCATCAGCTGCTCTGATAAAAATGGCACAATGTTGTTTCCAAGGTGGGAGTTATACAGATTTGAGATCCCATTTGAGAATGGGATGCTCAGAAAGGCTTTGTTTGCTGAATGCTCAGTCTTGATGTCAAAGTTGATGAGCACCATAATCACTTAGCATCAACTACCAACATAAAAAATCCTCTGTTTTGTTCATCACAAATATTCATATATATGTATGAACATTAAGAGTTTATATGATGGTGGGAGGGGGTTCTTTCTTTCTTTTATTTATATTTTGACTTCTCACATACGTAGCAGAGAGTTTTGCACCCATGGGAAACACACTCTGAGTTCAACTGAGTAGGGCAGGTGTTGCATATACTGGGATGCTGCATTTAACACTGTGATCCTGATTCTGAAAAGGTTGATGAGGTAATGAAATTCTGAATATTAGGGAAACATAATGTATGTATTTTTAAAAGATAAGCCATTGGACAATGGAAGCAGATTCCTGAAAAAGGTTGCAGATTACCTATCTCTGGAGATATCTTCTTAAAAAAGAATAAATGTGCATCTGTTAGGAATGGTGGAGCTACACTATCACCACCAAGGGATTGAACTAGAGGACCTTCAGCAATGTTTCCAAGTTTATAATCCTGCATTTTTTCCCTTTATGAAGGAAGCCTGATTTCACCTTTTTGGGGATCCTTCCCATTTCTTCTCATGGACACTGTTTGTTTCTCTCCTGAATGCTCAAAGTCCATATATCTTAAATGGTAGAGAATTAAGGTGGTATTTAAGGGGGGGAATCTACCCTAATTCTTTAGCCATATATGATTTATAGATTATAGATGGATATTTAGAAAATCTGTAAAAGAAAGACAACGTCTCACAGAAACAGAAACACAGAAACTCATAATCCTTTGTTATGAAAATCAAAAAGAGTATTTTCCTCTTAATATTATTTTCTTCAGATGGCAGATCATAATTCCTATACTAGATGTGTCAGTATGTGAAAGCTTTCCCATATTGCCTACATACAGTTCCATTGATAATATTCCAAATTGTTATATAGCAGGGCCTTCTGGTTACGGCACCCCAGTTATGGCACTCTCTTTCATTAGAGATACATTTGTCCTCTTGTTGACGCCTTTTAATTGCCTATTAAAGTCATGTGGTTCATCTGGCTTTATGCCTCATGTGAGGCATCCTGCAGTGATTTACAATAGAATTTTATGGTTTTGTTGTTGATTTTATGTTACATTTTACTCTATGCCTTTATGCATCCTGAGACCATCAGTTGAAGGGCAGTTTAAAATAATAATAATAATAATAATAATAATAATAATAATAATAATAATAAACATAAATGCACACATCCTTAAGTGCATAATACAGAGAACACCTGGTAGAAGCTCAGCTAAGTACATTGGATTTTGAGGGTTGTTTTTTTTTTAACACATTAATTCTGGAAACTCTAATGAGCATTTCATAAGCACTTGCTAATAGTGCCAATTTGAAAAAAAATGAGTTATGTGTCAACATTTCTTTTTGCACATGCCAAAATAGTAGTATCCCACTTGAATGTCTCTGTATTCTATTTTAACAAAATGCTGTGTTCTAAGAGAGAAGGGAGTTCAGAAAAGACAAATGAAATTGCTGAGCTTACTATGTGGCTTTTTATTTACTTTTAATACCTCTGTATATAAATAATTCAGCTCTTCAGTTCCCCAGCTGTTTAGTTTTCATATCCAGCTACAGGAGCAAGTCGTTTTTGCCTCTGCTTTTGTTATACAAACACTGTCAAGCACATACTCTGAGTTTCCTTTTAGTGAGCTACTAATTGCAATAATAGTAGTCTGAATGGTAAATACTTGCAATGTGATCCATCAATGTTTCGCAGAGCTCTGATAGTCCTATGGAGCTGTGCATGAACCTAAGCCTGTCCCCTCCCAAACCCAATCCCCATTCACATGATTGTTGTGAAATCATCGGGTAATCCTTGCTGGTATGTTTATAGATAAGCAAGCAGAAGCAAGAAATAAGCTTGAACTTCTGAGTTGACTTTAAACAAAACCTTTCTTCACCTTAAGATGTTTCACAATCGTGTCTTTCTGCTACATAGTTCTTCTGTACTGTATCCTTAATGTTTAGATCTTGCACTCATATTTATTTATTTCTTATAGTTACAGTATATAAGATTGCCCAATTACATTGTTCACTAATTTTCAGGGTGACGTAACACAATACAATAACAATTAAAATACTAAAAGGTTGCGTCGTAAAAGGCAAATATAAAATAACACCTTGCAGCCTAAACGTTTCCAGCCGATGGAATAAAACCAGATGACTAAATTACGCAGCATATAAATGGTGGTTCAAAACTGTAAAATCACAATTTGTTGTTGTTTTTTGGAGGCCCAAGAGAATGAACAAAAATTCACCTGGCACTAGAATGACCATAAAGAAGGTGCCAGATGAGCCTCATAGCAAGGGGCACAAATGCCTACTCCAAAGAAGAAATGGAGGGTGGCAATTCTTTTACTTAATGGCCTTTGCCACCCAGACTAAGAAAATAATAGAAATAAACACAGTTGAAGTCAGCAATGGCTCCCTGAACTAACAAAGTCAGTTCCAGTAGAAAGTCGTGATTTCATCCCGGTGGAAAATGGTCACATGAGCAGCGTATTATATCACCCATTTCACTGCATGCACATATTTACAATGACTTTTAAAATATCCTGTGGTCAAGTGGTTTCGCTCATTTCTCCTATATTGAAGCCTCCAAGGGTACCACAGCAGCCTGTGGTTCCAATTATGAATCCAATGTGATTGGCAATGCTCAACAAAATGTGGACATAATTTGAAGAAAGCTCGTGGCTTAAAATGTACAATCCTTTGGTTCATGTTAAACATCATAAGGGACAAAGCAGTCTCTGAAGGTATTTGGGGATGAAGAGGCAGAGGGGATGAGAGCCAAGCTAGCAGGGTGGCCCAAGGAAGCTAGGTGGGCAGGCTTACAGATGGAGCTCCAAGTTGTGTTGGGTCAGATCTGTTACAAGTAGGCTGCCACCTGTACTTTAGCCATCTCAGACACTTAAATTCTGGCAGCTCAGAAAACCAAGGAACTGCTGTTTTCCTAGCCAGTGGGCAAAGGTGGTAATCCCCTGGGTCAGTTTTCCATTCCACAGGCCAACTGGGACTTTCAACAGGGAGGCTTTGTGGGTCAGCTTGAGGCATTTGGCCTATTAGGTTGTTTTTATTTTTATTAGGTATTTTGTGGTTTTATATCTTGATTTTATTCTGTGAACTGCCATGAGACCCGCAGGTATCGGGTAGTATAATAATAATAATAATAATAATAATAATAATAATAATAATAATAAATGTTGTTGTTGTTGTTTAGTCGTTTAGTCGTGTCCGACTCTTCGTGACCCCATGGACCAGAGCACTCCTGTCTTCCACTGCCTCCCGCAGTTTGGTCAAACTCATGCTGATAGCTTCAAGAACACTGTCCAACCATCTCGTTCTCTGTTATCCCCTTCTCCTTGTGCCCTCAATCTTTCCCAACATCAGGGTCTTTTCCAGGGAGTCTTCTCTTCTCATGAGGTGGCCAAAGTATTGGAGCCTCGGCTTCACAATCTGTCCTTCCAGTGAGCACTCAGGGCTGATTTCCTTAAGAATGGAGAGGTTTGATCTTCTTGCAGTCCATGGGACTCTCAAGAGTCTCCTCCAGCACCATAATTCAAAAGCATCAATTCTTTGGCAATCAGCCTTCTTTATGGTCCAGCTCTCACTTACATACATCACTACTGGGAAAACCATAGCTTTAACTATACAGACCTTTGTTGGCAAGGTGATGTCTCTGCTTTTTAAGATGCTGTCTAGGTTTGTCATTGAATAATAATAATAATAATATTAATAATAATAATAATAATAATAAAAAAAAATAAAATAAAAGCCAAAGGATCCGACTGCCTCTCGTTGTACCATCTTAATAAGTCCTCAAAGAAGGCACCAATAGCTCTGCCAATTACTTGTTCCATTCTTCAGCCACTGAGCACTGATGTGTGACATCAACAAGGAGCTCTGAAAATCCTTCCCATTTAATGTTTTTGTGTTTAATTGTATTGAGCTGTATGTAGCCTGTTCTGGGACTGAATGGTGAATGGTGGGCTATAAATGCCTTTGAATAAACATATTAATAAATTGTGAATAGTTTCTGGATGAGAACTTAGGATTGTTTTCCAGAAAAATGGGCTGAATCACCCAGTCATGAACAACATTTACAAAGTCAGAATCAATCTTTCACCGTCTCTTAAATGGGGCGAGGTTGGGGAGGAGAGATTTGGCTTCCTCCTGCAAGGCAAATACATGCAGATATTTAGAATGGGTGATTTTAGAGCATTTCAGTCATACTGGTAACATTGTCCTTCAGCAGAACAGAACAATGGCTTTCCCATTGTGTTCTTTATTATAATGTGCATTCATTGTACTTGGCATGTAGATGGCTGCATCCTTTGTATAAATACAGGGAGAGCTGGCAAGAATATATGACATTTTGAATTGGTTAAAAAAAGTATATATTTTGTCACGAGAATTTTTGGGGGTGCTGTACCTGACAATCAGTCCATATATTCTCTCTCTCTCTCTCTCTCTCTCTCTCTCTCTCTCTCTCGCCCCCTCCCCTCCCCCTCCCTCTTTACCACATGAAACAGGAAGGGCAAGTGACTGAACACTAATGGCTGAAACCTGATTACGGAATCCGAGGAAGCACTAAAATACTATCATTCTGCATCTGTTTAATCCTTTGTGATTGACAAAATAGCTATAACTCATGGCAGATTAGTACTGCTCAGTCTGGCACTGTAGGTCAGATAATTTCTTTCACGTATCTTTAAACTTCATTACAAGTCTGCTTCAGTAGATGATGTGAACTCTGTTGCACTGAAACTAGGTCAGTGGGTTACTGAGTAATAATACTGTTGCAGGCTGGATTAATTATAATTATGTGTGATTATTTTCCCCCAGTATATACAATCACATTTACTTCTAGGAATTACCTACTATAGGAATATAGGAAACTCCCTTATACTGAGTCAGATCTAGCTCACTTTGGTCTACACTGCCCATCAGTGGCTGTCATGGGTTTCAGACAGGTGTCTCTCAGCCGTACACGTAGATATTGGAGATTGAGCCTGGGACCTTGTGCATGCAAAGCATCTTCTCTGTGGCTGAGCTATGGTTCCTTTCCTAAGGTTGTATGATGTTATAACAAGCTGACCTTCCTTCAATAGGAAAATGTCTTGTTAATAGACATGGGTGATTGATTTCCTCAGTAGGAACTAATGGTAAGTAAATACAGCTGGAGATTTGTCTCTAGTGTTTGAAACAGGAGAGCCATCAGACCTTAGAGAAGGTGACTCCCCTAAGCTCCCAGGTAAGAGTAGGGGCCAGGTGTGTAAGTAAGCACTAGTCAAAGAAAAAGACAATGGGGAGTGTTCAACATTATTGTTTAACCTTATGGGGCAAAGGTATGCATTTTGTTGTTGTTGTTGTTCCATTTTGCTCTTAAAGATTCTTTATTTGGTACATGATTTGTGTCTATTTTCCATATAGTTTGATCTGTGACAACAAATATGACTTGAGTAAAATTGTACTCAGTGTGTTTTTATTTGTTTCAGGTTCTTTTGTAGAATGAGCAACTGCTGCCCAGTCAAGAAAAGGGGACATGCCGTGTGAAGTGTTTTGAGAGAACTAGTTCACAAGAAGGTGCTTTATTCATATAAAATATGGTAATAGTTATTTATTATTCCATCTTTTGTTACTTGCATTTGAAAAAATGAAGATGACTTTTCATATATCCCAATACAGATATCTTCACTATTAATTTATTAAGTTATCCCAATTGGTAAAGAAGACAATTTAATACTATATACCTGAAGGCCAATAGATTTCTTTCACAATTAAAGGCATTTTTGAACCTTTAATTAATAGACATTCTGCCATAAACAGCAGTATGCATTCAATGGTCGTGTGTGTGTGTGTGTGTGTGTGTGTGTAATAAATAGACAAAACCAGAACAATCCCTTTTTCATGAAAAAAAAATCATTGATCTGAAAAACAGATGGAGATAAAATGAAGATGCATTCACAGAGAAAAACAATTATTTCAAGATGGACCACATAGGTTGATAAAAGAGATACTGGATAAATAATACTATAAATTACATACAGTCTGCTCCAGCCCAGAACTCTTGAGTGCTGTCTAGTAATCATAAGCCAATTCTTTAAAAACCAATCTATTGAATGTAGTCTTGATGTTGTCAGGTAAACCTTCTTATTTCTGGCTTTATTTCTTTCAGTTCTTGCTCAAAAGTGGGCCTATTGTCTTACAGCCAGATACTTAAGTTTAATGATTCCTTGTGGATGAATGGGTTTGAATGCAGAACTTGAATTCTATTTGCTAGTGATTCTTTTCTATTCATTTCAATGGAGGAAGTAGAGATGCATATGAATGCTTGGTTAAGCTGGCCTGGCCAACCTGGCTTGGCATGAACAACACTTTTGGTATGAGCAAAACTAGCCTGACATGGGCAAAACTTTGGTTCTCAGTCTGTGTGGAGCTTTATGCTGTTAACCACAATTTAAAGACAGGTGGACTATGCAAAGGTATGTCTGGACTGCAAAGATGTCAAGCTGATGTTTGAACTAAATCAAGGAAGGCCATGCAGAGATGGCACGATTTGGAAAAAGCAGAAAGGGAAGCATGATGTGTGTGAGAGAGAGGAGAAAAGAACAAATAGGGGATATTCAGTCTGGATGATCAGAGGTACTAGAAAACAGCTGAAAGACAATGGCTTTAGTTTACAAGTTAGGAATGCTTCCTCCTTCACCTGTATGCTTACAGAGACCATTTATGCAGTTATCACACCACATAGATAACAGGTGAAGAAATATGCCTTGGAAAAACTCAATATGGAGGTCAAATGGCCGAAATATTGGGAAATTTTAGAACAAGATGGAGATAGACTGAAATTGCAGAGTTTTGAAAAATTAAAAAACAAAGTGCGAGACTGGCTTCATTATTTTCAGATAATGGAGGCATTTAATTTGGACAAGAAAATTGGCTTCCAGGTGGAAAAATCAAAACTAGAAACTGAACTGCTAGAACCCAAAACTAAGAATTTGTCAAAGATGTATAACTTGCTGTTGAAATGGAACACTCAGGATGAAACGGTGAAATCTGTTATGATTAAATGGGCACAAGACGTTGGACACAACATTATGTTCGCTGACTGGGAGCAGTTATGGACCACAGGTATGAAATTTACGGCATGTAATGCCTTAAGAGAGAATATTATGAAAATGATATACAGGTGGTACATAACCCCAGTCAAGCTTGCAAAAATCTATCATTTGCCCGATAATAAATGTTGGAAATGTAAAGAAACTGAGGGCACATTTTTTCACCTTTGGTGGACGTGCCCAAAGATTAAGGCTTTCTGGGAAATGATATATAATGAACTAAAAAAGGTATTTAAATATACCTTCTTGAAGAAACCAGAGGCCTTTCTCCTGGGCATAGTCGGCCAATCGGTGTTAAAAAAGGATAGAACTTTCTTTATGTACGCAACAACAGCAGCAAGAATACTCATCGCAAAGTATTAGAAGACACAAGAGCTACCCACACTGGAGGAATGGCAGATGAAACTGATGGACTATATGGAACTGGCGGAAATGACTGGTAGAATCCGTGACCAGGGAGAAGAGTCAGTGGAAGAAGATTGGAAGAAATTCAAAGATTATCTGCAGAAACATTGCAAAATTAAAGAATGTTAGAGTGATGTTGGATTGAAATTAAGTGGCTTCTAGCCGTACAGGCTTTAAAGTTATATATAGATCAAGATTAAGGATTAGGATTTAAAAAGTTAAAAGAAATGGAAAATTGGCTTTTAATAGGTTAAAATTTAATGTTATACTATATTAAGATTAAGGATTGGGATTAAAAAAGAGGGAAAGAAATTGCTGGACAAACAAATTGAATTGGAATACAAAAGAGGGAGGTATGAGAAGGTCCAGAAAATAAGTAAATTTAAAAGTGGTGATGAAAAGGTGGTATTGTTTTTAACTGTTTTCTTTTTTCTTTTTTGTATTGTGTATTGTGTATTGTGTATTTTTGCACTGTGTATTTTTCTTTTTTACTTTTAACTCTTTTTTACTGATGTGTCTTTTTTTTATTGGAAACTTTAATAAATATCATTTAAAAAAAAATAATAATGATGCAAGTGTGCCATGAGGTCTTCAGCCAGTTTTTGCAAGCACAGGGGATGGAAGATTCTAGCATAAGGAGAAAACAAATGTTATAAAAAGGCAAGAGAAAAAAAAAAACCAGAAGGTAAGCAAACGAGAATATAGGATGCAATTAGTTCAAGTTGTGTCAACTGAAGAAGAGACTTTGAAGTAGAACTCAGTGGGTGACATAATGCAGGGTGGCCTGCCTGTTCCATAGATGACGCCTTGTCCTGAACTGACAGGAGAAGGTCCAGAACCCACTTCTGCCTGAAGATCAGAGGACTGGTCATCCACCATTTGCTTTCAGTGAACCATCTCTGATTGGTAATTATTATCCCCTGTTGTGGTTGACGTCCCGTGGGCAGTTGCTTTGAATTTTAGTATTGAAACATTGTGGGCATTTGCTTTGCATTGTATTTAGTAAAAGCCAGTCGTGCTTTTTTTCAAAGCTTGGATTTCTGTTCCTGTTTACATTGTCTGAAGGAACCTAGTAAACCCTCATGCTGACCTATGTTACATGCAGAGATGAGTGCTAGCTAATGGGGTGGTTCATTGGGCAAAAGTGGAAGCTGCCCAGCATGGCAGTAGAAATATCTTGTGGTGCTGAGAGGCATCAGCGGAGGTGTGAAGCTGGTGGTTGTGTAGACTACTGATATAATCAGGGCATCCACTCATCAACCCTGCAGTCGTACCACTGCCACTGTCACCTCCCAGTACATAATGGGAGGACCCCCCTGCCACTACTGGTATGCTGTTGTGGCTGGTGGTTTTACCTGTTCCTTCCACTGAAATGAATCTGACAAGTTGCATGTACTATGAAGCCAAAGTGAAGCTTCTGGTCAATACAAGTGGATTAGATTCACTTGTCCCTATCCAGCAAATGAGATCTAAGTACCCATAGCTCAGCTGTATAGCTCATCCTTCCAAGTTCAATGCCTGGCATCTCTTGGTGAACAAGCCAATATAGACAATACACAGCTAGAGGGACCGTTCAGTTTAAGGCAGTTCCTTATGTTCTTCCTGTGTGTGCTTTACTAAAGCACCCGTAGGCTATGATAGACATCCAGGTTGGGCATCATTTTCAGCTCTGTAATTTCATTTTTAATTTGATGGCAATCAATGCTATTACAATCCAATAATTGGAAAAAACGTAAGACAGAAAATTAATTTGCATTGATACCCAATTTAAACTTGTGCAACTGAGTCAACTTAGTACCATGGAAATCAATGTAACTAAATCAATACATGCCTATGCATGGTATTTTAAGTGATTTTTGGCTCCCACTCATTTAGGTAATGGGTATTTAAAGGAAATACGCATGCTTCTAAAGGGAAAAGTGTTTTTGTTTTTATTTTAAATAAAAATGGTAAAAGGTTAAGGCTATTTTTAATTGGGGGGAGACATTTTCTGCTTATAACAGTAATCTGTAGATTAATGTTTCCTGTGTTTTTATGATGCGTTCTATATAGCACCAGAAAAATAGTATAAAAAGGTATAATTACAGCCATTCTTAGACTGCTGGCATGTAATGACCTTCACTTCAACTCTGCAGGCTGGACTGAAATCTGTTCATATTTTTTAAAATAAAATTTATAGCTAGTAATTTGAAAAAGCATCAAGTACTTTTCATGTGCCCTGTGGACTGTTACAGAATGGAAAAATGAATAGTGGAGGTGGAGCAGATTTCTGTGGTTAGATATGAAGCTTCTTTTTAGTTGACTGTAAGAGTGTAGCACTAGCAGGCACATTTAAATTTGAGCAGAGCCACTGCTTAAACAAGACCCATGCCTCACCACTGGCTACTCTCTAAGGCATATTCCTTGAATTATGAAGGGAACATGATATCTGAGTTGGGCGCATTGTTGGTCAATGGTTCTTTTTAAAAATTTGTATCTTTGTGGTACCATATAAGTTATTTCTTCACTTCCATTACCAAAGCTCCTATGGTTCCAATGAAATTTTTGTTGTAATAACCCTAAAAATAAGAGGCAAAGAATTAAAAACAGTTGGCTAGTAAAAAAAAAGATTGGCTGTATTTCTGGAAGGTACCTGTAAAAGAATGAGTGGAGTGTGTGTGTGTGTGCGCATGTCTGTCTCTCTGTGTGTACTGGTTATATCAGGATATACCAATTATTTTCTTCTGGCTTTATTTAGGCTTTTAAAATTGGCTACATGCTCTTATTATTGCCAAAGTAAAATAAACCAAGAGTTTCTTTCACTACATCTTGCAGTCTTTATCAGCCCAATAAATGTACACGAGGAAACCAATGAGTAACTATTGGTCGTCTTTCACTGCAAGAATGAAACAAAAACAGACATTTTTCTAGTTTATGAGAACACGTAAAGCGATAGTTTCCTGAAAATGTCTCTAGTTGTAACTGAAAGATCAAAAAGTTCTGTTTGGGATATTTTACTAGTTAAATGCAAGCCACAAACTACATTCATGGAACTGGGATCCACTTCACACTTATCATTTGCTGAAGATACAGTGACTGAGGGGGGAAAACGTACACTGCACTGCTGGCATAGCAACGTTATGTCATTCATAACCAACGAAGTCAAGGAAAAGTCTCGCAGATGGATTGCTGTCCATTTCTTGTTCCTTTGAAAATCTCTTTCATACTTTTTGACATGTCAGCTATTTAATGCTTTGCAATGCTGACACTGGATATTTTCTGCAGAAAAGAAAATGAAACACCTGCTGGATATTAGGGATGGTCAAATTTGTCAATTTTTGTTTCTCTTGGGTTTGTCATTTTGCCAATCTTAAGGTCAGTTCTCCACATTTCTGCAACAGCTTGTGATTTTTATTTTATTTTTTATAAAAAAGTCCACGAATTGTTGTGTAAATTTATCTTAATGTACACATATTTGCATGCTATCATGCCTGTTATAATGTCTTTTATGGTATCTTCTCTATGCATTTTACACACATATATTCTCTTAATATACACCTGTTTGTGTACATTATTTGGAAAAATAGAGCATAAAATTCAGAGAAGTGCAAATTTCAAAAGATAGCTCCTTTTACATATTGAAAGTGGAACATAATAGGAACACGTTATGCTCTTCAGCTTTATGTTATTGGCCTGTGTAGCTTAGCATTGTCTGTGTTGACTGGAAGCAGCTATCAGAGGTTTTTCAGGCAAGAGCTTATTTCCTAGTCCAATCCTCTCTGAAGATGCAAAGGATTAAATGTTAGACCTTCTGCAAACTATGTGCTCTACCACTGAGCTATGGACCTTCCATTATTATTTTTTTAACCATTGAAATCTTATTCCATTTTGTGGATATACCTTTTCCCCCCTTCAGTGGAGTCAGCAACATTGTCAATACATTATTGTATGCATGTTAATTTGGTTTAATAATTTTGTGTGGATTTCCTTTTTTTAAAATGTATATTCCATTTCAGCTCAAATGTTCTTTCATTGCCTACATTTTCTTTTTAGCAGCTCATCTGACACTGGATGTCTGACCCCTGCTACCATAATAGCTGCTAATGGAAATTTCACCTCATGCAAAGATAAGATGGATTTTTGGCAGCTGTGGGAGATTATGAAGAGTAAGAACAATCTTAGCTGGAATCACAAGAAAAAGAAGACATCTGTAGCTTGAGAGCTACTCATCTGGTTTTTATTATACACCAAGCCTATATTTATTACAAGGAAGCTAGCCAAGAAACTGAAACCGATAGGCCTCTGCTCTTGGAGTGAGGAGACCAATATCAGACTGATAAATTCTGCCTTTTAGAGTCATGTGCGTACAAGCACATTATCTTGTAGATGCATGTCATGATGAGATCCATCTGATATAACTTCTTTAAAGATGGCATTTTCCCAGTTTGCTAGTCATCAAAGCCAGCCCAAGACATCTTGCTGACTGAGATGGAGGACAAAATGGTGCCCTCCTATTCCATGTACAGAAGCTAACTGGACTAACAGTTGAATCTTCCTCTAGTACTGATAATTGGATAGTGTCATCCACAGTGTCAGGCTAGGTATGGGGGTGCAGAACCAGCCATAGGGCACACACAGTTCCGTCATTCAGCAAAAGGGTACAGCCAAGGGGTTCAGGAGGAACAGTCTCACACTGCCTAATGGTAGGACTGACTGAGCTGGTCCTTGTTCTCATGGTACTGGATCCAAGTCAATGTTTTGTTGTTTTCAAATCAGCTTGTGTGCACATACAGTTATTCAGCCTTCTCTTTCATTGTGTTTTCATGTTCAGTTTTTGCCTTGTATATTCTCACTTCTGCCCCAGCTCACAGTCATGCTTTATTGTGCATCCATCAACCTTGCTGTCTCATTATCCCTTGTTTCTTTGCTTTACATCTTTTTTGGATGACCTGCTTCTGTTTCCACCCAAACTTGATGGGCACCCATGACTCACATGGTCACATTTGCGATACAATGATTAAATTGTACGAATTGTTGAATACCTACAAGGGAAGGATGCACAGGTTGCACAAGTCTTAATTCATATATCCAAGACTGCCTTTTTGATTTAGCTTCCCAGTGTGAAGATAAATGCATGAGTGGTTGCAAATGGAAAAAGCAGAGATTTGGGACTAGAGTTGACTGTTGAAGTTCCTTAGATACATGTTTACCTGGAAGGATGATCATATGCAACCAGGGTTCATAGTTTTCATTAGCTTTATGCTGTTAATTTTTAAGAACCTGAACAAGCATGGATATATTTGAGAACTTCTGGAATCTCACCCGGGGATCTATCTGCACTCAGATCCCACCTGTTGTTTGGAGACTTCCCCATTGAACTTAAATTTGACAAATGATTATTCATTTGTAGTGGTGGGTCGTACAGCATAGAAATTGCTCTCTTCAGATATTTATCTCTCCCCTCCCCCCTTGCCGTTTCTAAAAAAGCACTTGAAATACCAATGCTTTCAATGCACTTTTAGGAATCTATAGTTAGTGTATAATTCCTTCCCAGACTGCTAACAGTGTATTTGTTCTGTAAAATGTGTTAGCTTGTTGGAAGTGAGCTACAAAAGCTCACCATCACCACCTCTATCATCCCCCCTCATCATCCATATCCTAATTTGAGACAAAAAAAGCACCAACTTCAGTGTTCCTCTTCAAATATAATTTCCTCATTTTGCAGCTTAGCTGAAAGTCTTCATAAAATAAATGCCTGTCCATCAGTATGGTGAGTTTGGTCTGTGAGGATGTTCAGACAGCTGGCTCATCAAAGCACTCAGGCAAGAGAATAAAGGAGAAATTCCTCCTCATCTAAGTTCAATTATTTCTGAGAAGGTGGACTAAAAATGACACTTGGCCATGGTAGTCTGATTTGCAGGAAATCTCTTGCAGACATCAAAGTTCTGTGCCTCAAACAGGACTTGGTTTTGCTCTTCTTACATCCTGATGAATACTGCCTGGAATTTAAAGGGAGTACTTTTGTTCCTCTTTCTTTGAAAGCAGTCAGAGTATTTTTAGAAGACCAGATAAAAGCTTTACTTGAGAATTAACCGAATTAGGGGTTGCTGGACCAGATGCAAATCAAACAACAACTTGTACACAAAAGCATTAAAACAACAGTTCCTTGCTAAAATGGCTAAATATATTCCTTCCTAACATTAAAGACTGCTATGTTTGTGCGTAGCTAAGGTTTCCCATAAACCAGTAAACACACAGACTAGGACTAAACAGTTATATGCATTCCTCCAATGACTGTGGCCTTATCTTCTTCAGAAGAATTAACTAGATTGATTTAAATACAACCGATATATGTTAAAGTGGGCTTTATAAACACTTGATTTGTCATTAATAAATGAATGACTGATCTTTGTGTGGTCAAGACTCCACAATCAGCTCACATTTCACAACAGAGACGTTCTGCATGCAGAACTCCTGCTACACACATGGTCAGTCAATTGGATGCTGCTGCAGGTATGAAAAGAGACGATCCAGAGATCAACTCTCTGCAAACATCAACTGAGACTGCTGCACCAGTCAGGAAGCCAAGGGAAATCAGTATAGAATGGGATGCATATGTCTGTTTTTGCCTGCTATTTGAATGGTTGATTGCCTTTGAATTCCAAGCACCTATCTGTCTACTAAATATTACTATACACTGTACTAGTAGGGCAAAATAAATTTTTGCACATTGCACCATTGTTGTTGTTTAGTCGTTTAGTCGTGTCCGACTCTTCGTGACCCCATGGACCAGAGCACGCCAGGCACTCCTGTCTTCCACTGCCTCCTGCAGTTTGGTCAAATTCATGCTGGTAGCTTCGAGAACACTGTCCAACCATCTCGTCCTCTGTCGTCCCCTTCTCCTTGTGCCCTCCATCGTTCCCAACACCAGGGTCTTTTCCAGGGAGTCTTCTCTTCTCATGAGGTGGCCAAAGTATTGGAGCCTCAGCTTCAGGATCTGTCCTTCCAGTCAGCACTCAGGGCTGATTTCCTTCAGAATGGATAGGTTTGATCTTCTTGCAGTCCATGGGACTCTCAAGAGTCTCCTCCAGCTCCTTAATTCAAAAGCATCAATTCTTTGGCAATCAGCCTTCTTTATGGTCCAGCTCTCACTTCCATACATTGCTGTTGTAATCCAACAGGGGGGAACACACCTAGGTTCTGGTGGCAATTGAAGGAACTATGTATTTGGTGCCATTTAGACTCATGGGTGTGTGTGTGTGTGCGCGCACGCGTCACTAAATCCACTCCAAACCAAAATAGACAAAAATCCCTCTGGGTAGTGCTAGGTCCTGAATCACCATACAACCATCTCTCGCCACCCTAATTCTTCCAACTTACCTAAATGAGTTTTCAGGGCAGCAGGAATGGGAAAGCAAGGATGATTTACACTAAATATTAACTCTGGCTTTTAAACCTGCTTCTGACACTGCAACTCTCATTTGCGACCTTCTGGTGAAGGGTGAATAATGACACACACACACGAGTACTCTTCCTTAATTAAAATAATCTTATTACCAATTAACCAAGCTGCATATTGAAGAAGCATAAGAAGCAATATGTGAGGCAGGGCCAAATGGAGCTAAAGTCAACATTTTTTTCCGAATTTGTTCATTTACTATCTTTGGAAACCAGGACACAATCCTAATATTTTTTTCCTCCCATCATTTTCTCAGTTGTTGGCAATGGTGTGTTGCCCCTTCCAAAGCCTGATAATTGACACTGTCTCTTGAATAATTTCAGAGCTTCCTTCACCATTAGCAGAATTACCTCTAGGCAACACACATTCCATACTTGTAAATCAATACTGTTCTTTCCTTTATTTGTTCTGCTGTGGGAGCATCTAAATCAGAACTAAAGCTGGACGCATTCAGTTTTATGACATGTACTTCATACCCTCCAACATTTTTCCAGTGAAAATAAGGCCATCCTAAGGAAAAGCGGGACATTCCGGGATCAAATCAGAAATTGGGACAGCTTCTCTAAATCAGGGACATCCCTGGAAAATTGGAACACTTAGAAGGTCTGGTACCGGAGCAGTAGAAATAGTGGGCCTATACACATATACTCCACATGTCCTCACAGTTATTTTTTATAAAAAGACAATTATGCTGGGAACTCCAAGCACAGAGTTCCATTGTAATGTATTTTTCTTTATTAACTAAATTTGCTACATGCCCAATTACTCTACAGGCATCATAAAAACAGGAGAGGAAAGAAAATGAGAGTGAGGAAACAAAAACCCACATTAGCAAGTATGAAAGCAGGTTCAAATGATTACAGAAAGAAGCTAAAAACCAAGTCAAATAGTAAAGACAACCTTACATAGCCACAGAAGAAAAAACACATTAAAAACTACAGAAACAATTAATTTAAAACAGCAAATTTAAAAGCCTGGGAGGAGAAAAAAGGGAATGCCTAGTGTTGAAGCACTCCCTTAGGCAACACAATTCAAAAACAAGGGGCCACCACCGAGAAGACTGTTTCTCTGGTATTTCTACTATAGAGCTTGTGGGGGCACTAAGAGAAGGTATTCTATGGTTGAACTCAGGACATTATTGTGTATTATTATTATTATTATTTAATTAAAATAATAATTGGATTCCAACAACATATGGGGGGCATCACATTGGTGATCAACCTCTTTGCCTATACCTCCCATCAAACACTACTAGAGAGACAGGATCACTGTAAAGAGTCTAGCTTGACTGTTTATACAAAAAGTATTTCAGTCCCGCTTGGTGGAAAATGGCTCAAAAGGGACAGGTCTCAAAATAGCCTGATAGCAGAATTATTATGTGGCTATTTCAAATGTTCCAGCACTTGGGCATCAGCTGTTCCTCTTCATTATCACTGATAATTTGATACTAGGATTGAGGCAATAATAATAATAATAATAATAATAATAATAATAATATAGTTAACACCATCTTCTCCTTATGCAATATAAGTTTAGAAGCGATTGTCAGAACAAAAGCAAAGGCTAATGTAGTACGCTTTTGCTGCTGTTTATGTGCATTGGATCATTTGTGTGTCTTTCTGTATGGGTATCTATCCATCATTTATCTGTCATCTGCTGGTCTGCCTATCCATCTGTCTAGATCTATTGTGGTAAAGGCCACAGGCATTAGGTCTAAAGACACTTCATTGAGCAGAAGCTGTTGGATTATACATGAGACATTCTACCAAACAAAATGGAAGATGTTTAAAACCAGACTTTCCATTTAGCAAAAGCTGTGTAATTCTAGCCATGATAAAAAAGCAGCATTAAGTAGCTTTGGAAAAGATTGTAAACAGCTTTCAAAAGAGGAGTTTCCATTTGGCAAAGGGAGCTCTATTAATAAAAGAGTTTCCACTATATTATATAAATACAGCTTCTGACTCCTCTGTTCCATTCTACTACAAGTGACTGCTTACCGTATAAATTGTTAATGACATGGGGCACAATCCATCAGTGTAAGCCTCATTGTAATGAATAGAAGCTGTGCAAGAACATTTATCATATCCCCATCTTAGTCATTTTATTTATTTCTAAATTAAAATAACCCAGCTCTCCTTTTTTAAAAACTTCATATAGATGAGGTTATATTTTCCCGATTATTTTACAGACCACTATGCCAGAATATAATAGTCTTGATCCTATATACCGTACTTCTTGCCTCAGGCTGAATCAAGTACAGTGGAAGCAAGTCAGCATACCAACACCACAGCATTCCTGACAACTGTGTGACTGACAACTGATTAGAATGACAGTCACCAATGTGTATCTGTGTCTGATACAGTAGCCTCTTGATTCAGCAGACAGCATCAGCTATTTGATGACCATTCTCCTTATTTGTACGCAGGAAGAAAGGTTGCTTCCAACAAATACTGTCCCACACTTTCCAGCGCATGTCCTCATCATTTTCCTTATAACAAAACATCCAGTTTGGGGTCAGGGAATGGTTTTGTTGCCCAAGAACTATCAGCTTCAATTGTGCAACTTAATTTGCTGGAATATGACTGAATCCCACCTAAAATAGTGAATCTGGAAGCATCCTCTGTAGGTTTTCTAAAATCTTATTTATTGATTTCCCCTCAAAAGCATCCTCTGTATGCTTGTGTGGTGTGTATGTTTGATAAGAGTTAACATGCATGTGTATATTTGTGATTGTGTGTATGATGAGAAGAAGAAGAAGAAGAAGAAGAAGAAGAAGAAGAAGAAGAAGAAGAGGAAGATTTTTTTATTTATACCCCTCCCTTCTGGCTGGGTTGCCCAAGCCACTCTGGGCAGCTTCCAACACATTAAAACATAATAAAACATCAAACATTAATAGTAACAATCTGATCCAATACTGTATAAAAGTCACAGTAACTTAAAAATAAACAACTTATGTCAAACAAAGCAACATTCAACAATACATCGGAATATAATAGTAAACATTAAAATTAAACAGCAAATAATTAAACAGTTCACACTTATCAACCACAATAAAGAATTACCAATCTATACTCAATAAAAAATAGCAGCAAATCACAGTGCACAAAATACCACAACACATACAAAACCATGTAAAAGGGTCAAACTGAGAAACAAAAACACACAACTTATAAAACATATATATATATATATATATATATATATATATATATATATATATCCCTGAACTCTTCCCAGCTACTGCTGCTGTTCTTAAAGTCATAGACTGGGAAAAGCTGGGTGGGCCAAGGCAGGTGGAAACACCATTGCCTGATGATGTGAAGTGTGTGTATGTCTATAAAGTGTGTGAGATTTTCTGTGTAGTGAGTGTGAGATTCTATAAATTTCTGGCCTTGAGCATATTTGCCTTGTCCACTATAGTAGTGTGCCCCCCAACCACTTTCTCCTGAAGTAATGTGGCCTTCAGCCCTCCAAAATGTTTCCCACTCCCAACCTAGTTGATTGGTGAGCAAAGTATGATTCCCTTCAGTTCTGCACTCCATGGGCACTTGGCAATTGGAGTCAAGTGTTCTTGCTGGCAAGGATAGGGGAAACATGCTCCCTTCAGCTGTTCCTTATATGGCTGATGGATGGGACCAGATTTGTCTGCTCCTTGCCATGATTTTCTTCCTTAGATACAAGGAGTGTAGCCTCCCAGTAGGTTCTATAGCTGATGGTAGAAACCAGAGAGTGAATCATTATCTGGGTGGGTAGGTACAAATGGACTAGGTGCATTCCTGTCTAAAATGCACTTCCAATAAGCATTGGGTCTGAGAGAGTACCTATCTACTATTGCTGTGGCAGGCCACACTTGTAGTATTCCTAAATTAAAAGAGCAAAGCATTTCTGATGGATTCATCTTAGCAACTAAGATAAAAGTGGGTTTTTAAAATACAGATATATTCATTCAGTATGATAATTTTGCTCCATGTTGCGATAGGGGCCTGATTTAATGAATGTCCACTATATCTCATATATGCCACATATGTTTTTAATTAATGGTAATAATTATTGCATGCACCAGGACAGATATTGCATCAAAATATTGTAACTATTATTTGCTTAGTAAATATCATTTGTTTGCAATTTATTTTATCTTTAAAAAAAGTTTGGTCACATTATACAGAAAAAAATTAAGAGATAGTTTTAAAAATTAGTTCATGCGGTTTCATCTGGTATAATTTTAAACCCATAATGTAATGCTAAACAATACGCATCTCCAAACCTTTTCAAAGGATGTTAACTCACTTTTTAAACAGATGTTTGCTATTAATAATGGATTTAGGTAAATTTATGGAATAGTAAGCTTTCTTTGAGAACTCAAGGTAGGTGGAGGGAAAAAATCATTGTTTGAAGAATTGGCCTTCATTCCAGCATAAAACCTTATAGCAATGAGTGATCACATGGACTGGGGGTGGGGGAACTTATCTCACTGAAGAGTGCATTTGTCTTGCTCTTTTTTTAAAAAAATAGAACTGAAATTAAAGTAAAATTTAGATGATCATTGCAGAAATTATCCCAAATAGAAAAGAACAGGAGATAAAAAGCTGATAGAGGATTAGGGTAATAAACATCAGAGAGCAAAAGGATAGATTTAAAAGGATAGAGTCAGCTGACCCAATATCATAAATGTTCCATTTAAACAATGAGAAAAAGCCCATGGCTTTCTGTTCACTAATCCTTTTTCCCCCTTGCCAGACATTTTGGCACAATTTTCTAGAAGAAAAGACAACTAAGTTTCCCCCACCCCATGAGTGGCTCTCACATGCTGAGGCTGTGGTGACTAGTGTTTATTGGGACTGGTAGGGCAGCAGCAGGGAGGCCAACAGTAGCTGGAGCAGGGTCAAAGGCAGGCAGACCCAAGTAATTCAATTTTTATCCACATCATGGATGTGGGTCCACATCCACATTGTGGACTTGGTTCGCCACTCACTGCACCTCCATTAGTGTGCCAACTTGAATAAAATATTGTAGGGCCCCAGGTAAGCCCCACCCCGCATAATCGATCACATGATGCAGTGCACACAGACCATTTGAATGGGAATGCCCATCAACTTTGTGGAGGCCTAGCCCTCTCAAATATTTTATTGCTGGGGCCGAAGCCACCACGGTCCCTAGGCATTGGCTCATATGGAAAGAGCCCATGGAAGGGGCTTCAGATGATGAACACAGTGCCCAGCAGTGGCAGGTAAAGTAAAAGGACCACTGGATGGTTAAGTCCAGTCAAAGGCAACTATGGGCTCATCTTGCTTTTCAGGCCGGGGGAGCCAGCGTTTGTCCACAGAGAGCCTTCTGGGTCATGAAGGGACCATCGGCTGGGTGAGGACTGCAGGGCCTGCTCCCTTCCAGGGCCTTTTCCAACTGACCCAGGGGGCGTGGCCAGGCCCTTTCTCCCAGCTACAAAGGGACTCCTGCTGCGGTGAGGCCTCGGACCATCGGCTGGGTGAGGACTGCAGGGCCTGCTCCCTTCCAGGGCCTTTTCCAACTGGCCCAGGGGGCGTGGCCAGGCCCTTTCTCCCAGCTATAAAGGGACTCCTGCTGCGGGAAGCCTCGGACCATCGGCTGGGTGAGGACTGCAGGGCCTGCTCCCTTCCAGGGCCTTTTCCAACTGGCCCAGGGGGCGTGGCCCAGGCCCTTATTTGGAACAAACTTTTGGGGAAGTGTGGGAAGTGTTCTGCCATTGCTTCCCTGTTCCAGGCGGTTAATGTGCCTTAAAATGTCCTCATGCAGTCGGTGGCAATTTCAATTTTTATTCCTTTTTTCCCTTTTTTCCTTTGTTGGGGGTGGGTGGGTGGGATGGATAGTTGGTTGGGGATTAATTTTAGTATAATTGTTCTGTTCCTTTTTGTTGTTGTTGTTTTATTGGTTCTGTATTGTTTGTGTTTTGTTTTTAAGGGGCGGGATCAGGGCTGCCTGGGAGTGGCTCCCCAGCCAACACGATGGCTGGGACAAGTTCCACAGGGGGGGAAGCACTGTGACATCCGATCTCGGTGATCATGGGCAGGAGGCGGAGTTACGCTAAGACCAGACCATGTCATTACTGAGGAGGCAGGTTTAGTCATTGTTTGAAGACTATCCCTGCCTCCGGGTCTGGCCTTGACCGGATGGATACTGGAATCAACAGGGAAACCCACATGACCTGAAAGTGTTGCTGTGCAATGCCAGGTCAATGATGAATAAAACCACTGCCATCCACGACTTGATTGTGGATGGAGGATTTGACCTGGCATGTGTGACGGAGACCTGGTTGGAGGAAGCAGATGGGCCTGTCCTTGCCGCTGCTTGCCCACCAGGTTTCTCTTACGCACAGCAACCCAGGTCATGTGGGCGGGGAGGGGGTTGCAGTGATTTTTAGGAAGTCACTAGCTTGCACCAGGCGTCCTACTGGGAAGATCCAGTTCTCTGAGTGCATGTTCTGGAAGTTGGGCAATAGGGGCAGTACAGGATTCCTTTTGGTGTACCGACCTCCCCACTGCACCAAGGATTCCCTGTCCGAGCTGCTTCAGGTCGTGGCGGATTTTCTCCTGGAGACACCTAGTTTGGTTGTCCTAGGGGATTTTAACATCCATGCCGACACGACCTTACAAGGGGCCGCTCGGGACTTCGTGGAAAGCATGGCCTCCATGGGGCTGTCCCTGAATAAGTTTGGCCCAACTCATAGTCATGGACATGCCTTAGACCTGGTGTTCACCTCTAGTGATGTGGGTGATCTGACACTAAGTAAAAGTGAAACAAAAGAAGTGCCATGGTCAGATCACTTCCTGGTGCAACTGGACTTCTCTGCGACCCTTCCCCTCTGCAGGGAGGTGGGACCAATTCGGATGGTCCGCCCCCGCCACTTAATGGATCCAAATGGTTTCCAGAGAGTGGTAGGGGATGCTTTAGCCCATGTTGATGGCCTTTCAGCTGATTCCCTGGTGGCCCGCTGGAATGCGGAGTTAACCAGGGCTATCGACTGTCTGGCTCCGACGCGCCCTCTCCGATTGCATGGAGCCCGGACAGCCCCGTGGTTTTCTTCGGAGCTGAGGGTGATGAAACAATCGCTGAGACGGCTAGAGCGTCGGTGGCAGAAAACTCACTCCGAATCTGACCGGACACAGGTTAGAGCTCAACGTCGAGCCTACCAAGTGGCGATAGCGACGGCGAAGAAGACTTTCTTCACCGCCTCTATTGCATCTGCAGAAAATAGTAGCAGGAGACTCTTTCAGGTGGTTCGCAATTTAACGGAACCACCTTTACCACCGGGGCATTGTAAAGACCCCAAGATCTCCTGCAACGATTTTGCAAAGTTTTTTGCAGATAAAATCACTCATATTCGGAAGGAGCTAGACACCACCGTGGGAGCAGGGCCAGGGCAGGAGAGTGCTAGAGCTCTGTCTGGTCAAGTTGCATGGATCAATTTCAATCCGTTACCCCCGAGGATGTGGACAGGCTGCTTGGATGCGTGAAAGCAACCACCTGTCTCCTTGATCCTTGCCCATCCTGGCTAATAAAAGCAAGCCGGGAAGGGCTGGGCGATGGGCTCTGCGGGGTGGTGAATGCTTCCCTCTGTGAGGGAACATTCCCAGATCCACTGAAAGAGGCGGTCATTAAGCCGCTTCTTAAAAAAACATCTTTAGACCCGGCCAGTATGGCCAACTATCGCCCAGTCTCAAATCTTCCATTCTTGGGCAAGGTGATTGAGCGCATGGTTGCTGAACAACTCCAGGCACGCCTGGAGGATGCGGACCATTTGGATCCCTTCCAATCGGGATTCAGGCCTCACCATGGGACTGAAACTGCCTTGGTCGCGCTGGTTGATGATCTCCGGCGAGCTAGGGACAAAGGTGAGAGTTGTTTCCTGGTTCTGCTGGATCTCTCAGCGGCCTTTGATACAATCGACCATAACATCCTTCTGGACCGTCTAGAGGGGCTGGGAGCTGGGGGCACTGTTATACAGTGGTTTCGCTCCTTCCTCCTGGGCCGTGTTCAGAAAGTGGTGTTGGCGGATGAGTGTTCAGACCTCTGGACCCTCACTTGTGGGGTGCCTCAGGGTTCCGTCCTCTCCCCATGCTTTTTAACATCTATATGAAGCCGCTGGGAGAGATCATCAGGGGATTTGGACTGGGTGTCCATCAATATGCAGATGATACCCAGCTCTACCTCTCTTTCAAATCAGAACCAGTGAAGGAGGTGAAGGTCCTGTGTGAGTGCCTGGAGGCGGTTGGAGGATGGATGGCGGCTAATGGATTGAAGTTGAATCCTGACAGGACAGAAGTATTGTTTTTGGGGGACAGGGGGCGGGCTGGTGTGGAGGACTCCCTGGTCCTGAATAGGGTAACTGTGCCCCTGAAGGACCAGGTGCGCAGCCTGGGAGTCATTTTGGACTCACAGCTGTCCATGGAGGCGCAGGTCAATTCTGTATCCAGGGGAGCTGTCTACCAACTCCACCTGGTACGCAGGCTGAGACCCTACCTGCCCGCGGACTGTCTCGCCAGAGTGGTGCATGCTCTAGTTATCTCCCGCTTGGACTACTGCAATGCGCTCTACGTGGGGCTACCTTTGAAGGTGACCCGGAAACTACAACTAGTCCAGAATGCGGCAGCTAGACTGGTGACTGGGGGCGGCCGCCGAGACCACATAACACCGGTCTTGAAAGACCTACATTGGCTCCCAGTACGTTTCCAAGCACAATTCAAAGTGTTGGTGTTGACCTTTAAAGCCCTAAACGGCCTCAGCCCAGTATACCTGAAGGAGCGTCTCCACCCCCATCGTTCTGCCCGTACGCTGAGGTCCAGCACCGAGGGCCTTCTGGCGGTTCCCTCATTGCGAGAAGCAAAGCTACAGGGAACCAGGCAGAGGGCCTTCTCGGTAGTGGCGCCCGCCCTGTGGAACGCCCTCCCATCAGATGTCAAAGCGATAAATAACTACCTGACATTTAGAAGGCATCTTAAGGCAGCCCTGTTCAGGGAAGCTTTTAATCTGTGATATTTTACTGTATTTTTTGTTTATATGGAAGCCGCCCAGAGTGGCTGGGGAAACTCAGCCAGATGGGCGGGGTACAAATAATAAATTATTATTATTATTATTATTATTATTATTATTATTATTATTATGTGGCCAGTATGACTAAACCACTTCTGGGGCAACAGAACACTGTAATGGAAGCCAGAGCACACGAAAATTCCGTTTAACTTCCTGCCACAGCAGTACCTATTTATTTACTTGCACTGGTGTGCTTTCGAATATCTAGGTTGGCAGAAGCTGGGACAGAATGATTGGGGCTCACCCCATTGAACTGCCAACTTTCTGATCAGCAAGCCCAAGAGGCCCGGTGGTTTAGACCACAGCACCACTAGCATCCACCACGTCAGCAGTGGCAGACCTTGGGGTCTCAAATTTCAGTAGTGCCCCATGCGACACAAAAATTCAATGTGCCCACCTCTTGCCTTCCATTCTACATCACAGTTGTACATCATCTTCGAGGCTCTGCGCCCAGTGCAACTGAACCAGTTGTGCTCCCCTAAATCTGCCTCAATGTCCAGATTTATTCATTTGGCAAAGGTGGTCTTTGAGATATTGAACCACATAAGGGTTGGCTTTTACTACCAAAGGTTACATACAGTCTTGTTTTATCCTTACAAACTTGTACATAGAGCACATGAGTACACACAAAGATTTGTTCTATTGTGCATAGTCTTTTTTCCCATCTGCAAATGCATATTCAATGCTTTTTTATTAGAACTATGATTTATTGTAACATTCACAGGAAAACCACAGGAAAATTACCTAGAAGACCTCACATGAATTGCTTGCTTCTTGACTATATCATAGTTTTCCATTTCAGTCAAGATGATCTAAAAATACAAAGGTTTTGCCAAAGTGAAAAATGCATTTGGTGGAGGCAATAGATATTTTATTGAGAATATGCAGAATTTGTCATTTAAAATCTGATAGGGGCTTTAGCTCACAAATATAATAAAGCTTTATCTCCAGGTACAATATTTTTTGCTTTTATAATGTATTAAATTGGTGCTAGCCACAGGTTAATTTTGAATAAACGTGAGAATCTTGTTATGCTGTTATAATACTTAATGAAATACCAGCCATAGGCTAAATCAATAGAAGCCCCACCCTTAGTCATATGTCTGAAAAATATGTAACAAAATACTATTATATGCTTGCATTTCATGTCGGGTTATGAAAAGATGACCCATTTTGGAAGGTTGCCACCAGCAACAATATGGGTTTCTTTCTCTTTTATTTGTGCCTAAAATATTATGGATACTGAGAGGATTTAATAAGATATATTTTTCTTTTAAGGCAAAGGTATTAGTAATGTTGGTAATCTCAAAATGAGGCACCATTCTGCAACATGGTAACTTTCAATTACAGTGGTATCTCAGGATGTGAACAGGATCCATTCCAGAGCCCCTTTCACATCCTGAATGGAACATAAGACACGACGGCGCATCTGCGTATGCGTGGGTCGTGTTTTGCCGCTTCCGCGCATGCGCGTGACGTAATTTTGAGCGTCTGCGCATGCGTGAGCGGCGAAACCCAGAAGTAACGTGCTCCGTTACTTATGGGTTGCCACGGAGCGCAACCCGAAAGCACTTAACCTGAAGCACATTCAACCCGAGGTATGACTGTAGTGCTATTTTTCTAGAAAAAGAGGTGCCGGAACTCACCATGAACACCTCCCTTCTTCTCATAGAATGGCAATGGTGTCCACCCGAGAGGGGCCAGAACTGAGTTACAGTGAGTTCCGGCTGAACAAAAGCCCTGCTTTTAACAACTCAAACTTCTGCATATCTCTTGTCAGTCTGTCTGTGGACTCCTCCCCCTTCACCATCATTTATGATCATATAGCAGAAGCCAGCTGTGACCTTGGCTGACCATTGAGTCAAGACACCGCAGTCTCCACTGTGCCTCATTCCCAAAAGGAAACACGAACCCTGGAAAAGTGCCTGGAACCGCTGGAATCTCACACTACTTGGAGGTAGGCGTGGTGTGCAACTACGTTTGCCTTTGCACTATTCACCTATTCATACATTTTGGGTCAAGTTGATTTTTAAAGCATGTATAATTTTTTTTTATTTTTTCCAACCAAACCTTCATTTGAAAACTTTTGGACATCCACCCTGAATGATGATGATGTGAAAAACTGCATATGTTTTTTTAATTAAAGCAAGATAGAATAGCTGTAGCTGTGGTTCTGGCCATGCTACCAGACTTAATAAGCCTCAGTTGATCTAAGAGACCATCTTAACAATCTTTAATAGATGCAACTGGCCTGTCCCTGTTTTTCATCCAAAGTCAGCAGCCCTTATCTAGCATGAAAGGATTGCATGAGAAGGAGAGGCCCACCCAACGAGGAAGCATTGCCACTTTCTCTACTTCTTGTCAACCTTTTCCCTATCCAAATCCTACCTTTCCAAGTCATTTTAGTTTGAGATTGAACAGAACAACAGCTAAAATATTTATGGCTAGGTAAGTCTCTTACTATGTGAATTCAGTCAGTGTCAGACCATTGGGAATATAAACCAAAGTCTAGATGAGTCTTTGGGTGAGTAGAATGGGATTATTAAGAGCAAACAGAGGAGCCAAAAACAACACTCTGTTTTACATTTATGTCCTAGTTTAGCCAGATTTCAGTCTTCAGACAGTGTTAAATTAATCTTCAGTAGCCATGCACATTTTGTCTATCTCTTAAGTTTCAGCTTTTGGTACCAGTGTCCTGAATGCCCCAAATTTAAATATTGCTATCTCTCTGTCCCCCTCATCCCGCCCTGCATACAATTTTCATCGAGGCACTTTCTGTTCAGAGTCTTGGTATAATTTAACAATTTAATAATATTTATTCATAATTAGGAGTTATGGGTTTGCATATGGCACCTAATTATTCTGGATGCTTATATTCCAAGCAGACAGTGAATAGCACCATAAAGCTTTCTCATCCTAACTGTGTGAATGGGCAACAAAATAGGCCATAGAATTCAATAAAAAATAAGGAGAAAATAAGACATGTTTGTTTCTGGGTATGACTGTTGTGGTGTCTGAACTGGCATTTTTTTAAATCTTGGGGTCATAGTAAAATAACTGCACAAGGACACACCTTCTGTTCTAGCAACTCACTGTTCCAACTGTTGCTTGTTTTGCTCCATTACTTCTTCTGATGGATGCCAGCAATTCTCACAAGATCCAAACAAATACAGGGAAACAATTTTCTATAAATATCCTCAAGTCTGATTTATAATTTAACCTCATCTTATTTCCTCCATAGTAATGGGGTTGCAGACTGAGCCAGCAGCCTTTGGGCCCTGGTAAGGTAACCTCTTCCAGCAGGGCTTGGGCACTGGAGTTGGAGCCTTTTCTCTCTGTCTGCACCTGTGTTAGAGATTTACAAAATTAAGCATAGTAAGAGTTTGAATGACCAAACTGCAATCCTATGCACAATGGAGTAAGTCAAACTGAACTTAATGGGACCATACTAAAAATAAAAAAAATCCTTCCAGTAGCACCTTTAAGACCAACTAAGTTAGTTCTTGGTATGAGCTTTCGTGTGCAAGCACACTTCTTCAGATACACTGAAACAGAAGTTGCCAGATCCTTCTATATAGTGAGAAGGTGGGAGGGGTATTACCTAGAAGGGTGGTGGGAATGTGGGGAGACTGGCAGATAGCTGAGATGAGCCTGCTGACGACTCTTAACGACTGTAATAGGTCTTACAGGAAAAGGCAAGGGGTGAGAAGGTGAGAAATGGCTTAGTCATGTATAATGGGATAAGAATCCACTGCCTTGTTCAACCAGGGTCTTCCATGGTTTTAAGTTTGGCAATGAGTTGTAATTCAGTGCTTCTTTCCAGTCTATTTCTGAAATTCTTTGTAGTAAAACAGCTACTTTGAGATCTTGCATAGAATGTCCTGGGAGATTGGAAGTGTTCTCCTACTGGCTCTCTGTTTTGTGATTCTGACGTCAGATTTATGTCCATTTATTCTTTGGCGTAAGGTTTGCCTGGTTTGTCCAATATAGAGAGCTGAAGGACACTGTTGCATTTGATGCCATACACAATGTTAGATGATGAGCAATTGAATAGTCCTCAGATGGTATGTGTGATGTTGTTAGCCAGTAATGGTGTTGTCCGGGTGTATGTGGCAAAGCTGCACATCTGGGCTTATTGCAGCCCTGGTGCCAGTGTCCGTTATCTGTAACTGGGACCATACTAGAGGAGGGATGGGGAGAAAGAGAGATTTAAGTAAAAGTATGAATTATATTTTCAGAGTGAATAAAGAAAATAGTCTCTTTCACAATATCAGCGATTAGGGTCATCCAGTGAAATTAATTAATAAAACTTAAATGGAAATACTTTTTTCAACATACAATTTCCCCCCCCTTACATTGTTCTTCCTATTTGAAGCTTGTCCTATTTGAAGCTTTTTCTCAGGCTTCCCTATTATTTTGCCATTTGCAAATTTTAGGAGTATGTTCTGCATGTCATATATACTGGAACCCACTGAAATTTACTGGATATTATATCAAGCCACTCATTATTCTTTAGTTATGAATTTTCAACCAGGTGTAGAGCCACACATCTATTTGATTCACATTTTTTTTTAATGAATATGTTTTTCGTACCTTGTGTGGCTTCACAGATGCTGATGAGCTGCTAATTTGTGCTTTGTTTTCTGTATGAATTTCACATGTTGTCACAAAATATTGTTCAAGCAAAGTGAATGTTCCCTCACCCCCACCTCCCACCTCCCATCTTTCTTTTAATAACTCTGCATGGACCCTGCTCAGTCTAACACAATGTGGCTTTGTTCTGAAAAAGACACACATCCCACCAATTACCACAAGTACTATGAATGTACCATAAATACACCTTTACTTTGCAGAAAACTTTTAAAGGCTGGGAAAGAAAGGAACAAAAGAGAAAGAAAAAGAATGAGGAAAATCAGTAACGATTAGCTGATAATTCCACTTCTGATTTTTATTTCAGTTATATCATCTGCTAAGCATGGATTTGTCCCTCTCTCATAATACTAGAAATCCAGAGCCATCTGAAGAAGCTGAACAGACAAAAGAAAACAGTTCTTCACACTATACATAGTTAAGCTATGGAATTCGCTCCCAGAAGATGTAGTGATGACCACCAAGTTGGTTGAGTTTAAATAAGGATTAGACAAATTCATGGAGGATAAAGCTTTCAATGGCTATTAGCCATAATGGCTAAGTTTTTTTTATCCCCACTTTTGGAGTATGTCACTGAATATCAGTTGCTGGTAATCACAAGTGGGAAGAACACTGTCATTCTTGGTTTCTCTTTGTGGGTTTCCCATAGACATCTGGTTGGCCACAGTGAGAAAAGAGAGATGGGCTAGATGAGATTGTGGCATAATCCAGTATAGCTTGTTTTATGTTCCTAAATAAAAAACCTTTACCCTTCTATTTAACTTGGATTTCCAGAACAAAGTTTCATGGGAAGTAGGAATGAGCATCATTGTATCCAGCTGGTGGTTCCTTTGTCAACCAGATTACTTGTCAGTAATCTGGGCCAGGACAGCCAGTTGATGTCTCATAGAAAGAGGTAATGGTTAGAATATAATTGGAAATGTCTTATGCCACTTTTCTTTTTACATTCTTGAGCAAACCAGATATGATGTTAATTTTTTTTTTTTACATTAAATAGACATATTTTAAATACTGGAAATAGCAGCTGATTGTGTGTCTGATAAAAATTGGGATCACAGCAGGTAGGGAAGGAAAGATTAACTTTCCTCCCCTGCTCAGATCCTGCTGGAAAATGCTCCTTTGAAGATGTTTTTTGCATTGGAAGGAAATTTTCCTTTGCAACATACAGATGCAACCCATTTTTAGATGTATGTGATAAACCTATAAATACGTATTTGGGATTATATCCCATTGAACAAAGAATGAATATTGATCTGTTTATTTTTTGATAATTATTAGATACCCATTTTTTTTTTTTAAAAAACTCCTCTATATTTGTATACAGTCTGGAGAGGATGAACATTTCCATTGTCTCAAAAAAATGACAGATTTTAGATAATGGGGATAGCTCATTTTCAAAACAGAAATCAGATTCATAGTCTTTCTGCGTATAATTTCCACCAGGACTGGATTTAATAAGTAAACAGTTAATAAATTTATTGTGTAAGTATATGTAACATGTTTGTTTCTGTTACATTAAGACTGGTAAAAATACAATTCGCTTCTTAATATTTGAAGCGCATTTTGAAAACCACATTTATACTACTAAGATGTCAATCACTTCTTAATTTATCCTGAGCAGAAATGTATGTGTAAATGACCATATATAAACATACAAATGTTCTTTAAAAATGTTCCTTACAGCATAAAACTGCCCACTGTTCTTTTCCTATTATTTCAAGATTATCCATAGAAACATCTTTTAGGAGGAAAAATAAATCAAAATTAAATTTATTTTGCAGGTTGGCAGCAAGTGATTTCTAAAACAAGATGAAATCCAGCGATAGTAAGCATATTAAATGCTGCTGAGTCAAAAGAAGAAAACCAATATCATACAGTTGAAGGTTTTTTAAAAATTATTCTAATAATATACAAGTCAGACATTTCATTTTGAAGAAACCTCTCTTTGGGTTGCCGTATATTTTGATTAAATAAATTGGCAAGGAAGTATGTATAATCATGTACAAAGTAGCTTAAGGGATAAGGCACGAAAGGAGCAGTCGTACTTTCCACCTGGGAGCAGTGGAGTTGCAAGGAGCACTTCACAGCAGGCAAAACGGTTTCATTCCATGTTTTGCTTGTTCCAAACTGGAACAGCAGAAACTCCCAGATCAGTCCCATTGCTGGTAGCTGGGCCAGTTTATGATCCAGTGGATCATTGGCTCATAGCTGTCAACTTACAGATTTGAAAATAAGGGACCAGCAGCCTTGAAAATAAGGGATCAGAAGCCAAAATAAGGGATTTTCTGGGCACAGGTATGTTCAACTTCTGAGCCCCTCTGAGCCAAAGGCAGAAAGCCCAGCCAGCAGCCAAATGAAGCCTCATCAATAAGGGACAGCAGCGGGACATGGCGCTGGGATAAGGGACTGTCCCGCCAAATAAGAGACACTTCACAGCTATGCCTTGGCTGCACCAGTTCCACTCATTCCTCACCCAAGAAATGCTCCATTTGGGGTGCTTCCCTTGGGTACTAGGGGAAGGAAACCACTGGTGGTAGCTTTCATCCACCTGTGCTTTCTGCATGTACAGCATGGACCTTTACCATGGTTGAGGCTGCCCCCCACAATGCCCTGTCAGAGCTCAGTAGAGCAGCCAACCCCCCTTTCAGCATGGCAGCATTGTTCTGTGAACTTTCACTAACAGAATTGAATCTTTCTGGTGCTGCCTGGAGCCCTAATCAGTTTGGCTCTGACTCTGATGCTAGCAAACATTTCTTGAAATAAATACAAGAAATACATCACAAATCTTGGGACTGTTTTGATATCTAAATGAAACTGGAGTCAAGTCAATTCCTCTTTAATAAAAGCTGAAGTAGCTGAAGGTGAGAGAATGCACCTCTCCCGGAATTTTATTTTGATGCTAAACTTGGCTTGATATGGCTGTTTCTGAGCCACATTTTCGTATTACATGTAGATTTTGTTCTTCTGTAATAATTTAATGTTTATTGCAATGGGCACAACACAGAAGAAGTTACATAATATACTGTAGCCCCATTAAAATCAATTATTTCAGATTTCTTTTAATGAGACTTTAATATATTTGATCATTTTTTTCTGGGTTGCACCCAAAATGTTCTTTAGGCTAAATCAGTTATTTCGGAGAATGAAATAATATATGGACTACATTGAACATGTATGGGGGGGGGGGAATCACTATGCTGATTAATTATACCCAATACTAATTTGACTTTTTAAAAGTCTAGTGCATTGCATAGCATCACTTTAAAAAAAGAAAGAAAGCGCATGAAAATGATAGTGATACATGATGATAACTTGCTTTTGTAAGTAATGTGGGGGAAAGGCATGTCACCTTTGGAAACAAATAAAGAATGCTTTATGAAGATCGCTTATTGCTGGGCTGCTGAGTGACCTAAGATAAGGAGAAAACAAACCTCTTTTACAGGGTTGCTGTGATTAACGAAAGGTCCACCAGTTGGCAGCCTATCATCAATGGAAGCTGGCTTAATTCAAATATCCCTCTTGCTATTAGTACATTTTCTGTCTTGGTGGCTGGCACATTACTGAAGTGTGTGAGTGTGTTTACACATACACTCTCTCTCACACACTGACTGTAGGCTTGAAATTTTCACCGCAGTAATAACAAGTGTACCAGTCCCTGTGGCAGGCATCAGATGGGCTGCTGCCAGGTCTTTGAACTACAAAAATAAATACAGAATAGAACAGCATTGTAGTGGCCAAGCCTGAGGCCTAGTCATCTGTCTTATAGCATGCTCTGGTAAGAGTGTTTGGCTTGGACTTTTTCCATCACATGTGGTAGCTGTGAGAGTCGAAAGGTGGGAGGGAGGAGGCAGTAGAGAACAATGTTAAGACAGTGCATTTTAAAGTGTGTTGCCTTTACAACCCTCAGGAAACGCAATTCTCACAGGAGCCATAGCGCAGAAACTTCTTTTGTTGTACCTCTGCGTGTGCAAATGTATAGATCAGTTTGTGACATTCCCCCCTCCTCTTCCTCCCCGGTTCTGAAAGATTATGATGAACTGGTACGCATACTTGCACACTGTAACATGTGGTTATAGCTAGGCCAGGATTTGTGATGAGTTGTGTGTGCACAGTCTTCCTGGTAATTTTAACATTCTTGACTTATGGGGCTCTTTTCAGTGGAAAAGCTCAAAACCAGAGAATGTGGAATGAGGGGTAGCTGGATGTTTGTTAGTTTTGGCTGAAACATATTCCCCTTCTCTTCCCTTCTGTGGACAGTATAGAACAAATTGAAGTGATATAGGGCCCTCTTTTCCTTTCTTTACATGTTTCTAATAAAAAAAAATCTCTCCCCAATCTCCTCTTATTTATATAATGCATGTGATTTCCCTCCTCCACAACACAGATAATGTATGTGGAAAAATATACCATAGTCATCAGCTGGCTGCCATGGTGAGAAAGCCCACCATTTTGTGCTGATGAATTTTCTTCTATTAGAGATTGCGTGGAGCAGCAGAAAAGTATTTTTTTTCAACACAGCAAAAAATATTTCTGCTATAAAGGTAAAGGGTAAAGGAACCCCTGACCATTAGGTCCAGTCGTGGCCGACTCTGGGGTTGCAGCGCTCATTTCGCTGTATTGGCCGAGGGAGCCGGTGTATAGCTTCCGGGTCATGTGGCCAGCATGACTAAACCGCTTCTAGCGAACCAGAGCAGTGCACAGAAATGCCGTTTACCTTCCCGCCAGAGCGGTACCTATTTATCTACTTACACTTTGACGTGCTTTTGAACTGCTAGGTTGGCAAGAGCAGGGACCAAGCAATGGGAGCTCACCCCATCGCGGGGATTCAAACTGCCAACCTTCTGATCACCAAGTCCTAGGTTCTGTGGTTTAACCGACAGCTACATAATAACGAATATACATTGATTGTTCTGTTCTCACAGTGGCCAACCAGATGCCTGTGGGAGCCTGCAAGCAGCAGTCTGACCAGTTGCTGATCCCAGCAATTGGCATCCGGAAGCATAATGTGTCATGTGCCAAGAGTCAGTTTCACCTGCTGAACAGCAGCCTGAAGGGGGAGAAGGTGAAGTGTCTCCACCTGCAGCTGATCAGCCTTCAAGGACTCAGAGGAGAAGGCACTGATGAGAACCAGCTGGCTTCAGCCTTCTTAAGCAGAGCTTCCAGCAGCAGGCAAATGCTGGTGACAATACTTGTAGTTCCTGGCCCTACCTTGCTGCTTCCTGCTTGTCTTGACCCCATGATCAATAGGTTCCCTGAACAATCTGACCCCACGGATTGCTGTTTGCAGGACTGGACCTGATTTTGGGTGCTGACTCTGCTTCCAGGCAAGTACACCTCAGAGACTCTTCTGGTTGGCTGGGCTATTATTCCACGTTGTTGCTCGGCAATGAGACTATGACGTAATGTCTCTGACAGTGAAGGTATAACATAGTATCATGGCTAGTAGTTGTGCTCACCATGAATTTATCTTATCTTCTTTAAAGCCATTTAAGTGACACTCCTATTTTGGAAGGGTTATGGGTATTGCTGAACAGCTGCAGCACTGTTTGCAACTCTAGCCGTGTCTATTAAGAAGTAATACCAATTGTATTCAGTGGGGTTTATTCCTAGGTAAATAGGGTTAGTATTCCAGCTGATTAAGGGGGATGCAAAGCTTGGGTAAGGTTCTTTGTTAATATTTTATTAATAATTTCAACATAACATTTTATTAAAAACCCCCATATCATCCTTAAATCCCCCCTATTTTTTCCTCCCCCTCCCCAAAAACATAACCCCCCTCCCCTCCCCCCCAGACTTCCCTCAGCTTCTCTCTCTGGTTTATCAACATATGCTATTTTCTGCATGTTACAAAACTGTACAGATCCTTAATTTATCTATCTAAATGTTATCAGTAAAAAGTTTGTGAATGTTTATTCAAAAAAGCTTGGGGAAGGTTCTGATGCCTTCCTAACTACACAACAGTCAGTCTATTTGCAACATTTCCCCCCTCTGAATGACCTGTTTACATGTTCCAGAAGAAAATAGCATTGCTGTAGTAAAAATAAAACATGATGGCAGATAATTTATATTTACAAATAATTTTGTAGAGGCCTGTCGGGAAGGAACGAAGGAATTGTGATGGGAACAAATACAGCCCTTTTTAAACAAATACATGTTGGAATAGAAACTGGCAAAATGTAACATTGCTACTCTGAGTAGACCTGTTAAATCGGTTCTGCTTCAGAGTGGGACCAGGTTGTGTTCAGGCCACCAGGCCCCACCCCCACCTCAGTGTGGTGCGGGATAGCATCCCGCGTCCCGCTGAGGGTGTCCTGCGTCACGCCATTTGCCAGGTGGCCAATCAGGGCTCTGTGGGGGTGTGGCCGGGGCCCATTTAAATCCGCAGCGCAACTTTGGCAGCTCCTTTTTCAGCCTCACACCATGGATCTCCTGTCCTCCCACCCTCTTTTAGGGCCACTGCCTTGCTAATGGTTGGTCGCTGTTGAGGGGCCTGGTAAGACTTTTTCCACTTGGCAAATTGGCACCAGCCACTTGGTTTTCACCTACCTCGTAGCAATCGTCACAACTTTGTAAGCTTTGGCGGTTAGGCATTGGAATAGCAATGTGTGGGGGTGGGGAGGTACAGCCATCACCTGCCCCTCCATGCTTAAGGGTATTTCGTTAAAGGAATCCGGGTGTGTGGATCTCATCCAAAGCCCAGGGAAGGGCTAGGCCATGCCATAACCCCAGCGGGAACCTGGGGGGGGGGGAGTCAATCCGCATTGGCGGGGATCCACCTACTGGTGGTTTACCCTTCTAGACTTCCTGCAAGGTGGGCAGGAGTCGGAGATAGTCTGTTGATGCCAATGCCTAAGCCAATACTGCCCACATTCTGTAACCAATAAAGTTGTGGCCTAAATTTTGCCCATTAACATTAACCTAAATTCTGTGTCCTTGTCTTTTTTCTCCTGGGGTGGCTTGGGGGTCTTGAAGCACAGGTAGACTTAAGTAACTTAAATCAATTGATCTATTATGAGTATGATTTTAGTTATTTATTGCATTTATTTTCCCTCTTTAATTCCAAAGAACTCAAGATGACAAACATGGTTCTTCTCCCTCCCCACTCAATCCACACTACAATTCTGTGAATTGGATTAGTTTGAGAGGCAGTGATTGGACCAAGGTCACCCTGTGTTCATCATGACTAAGTGATTATTTTTATGCTGGTTTCCCAGGTCCTAGTCAGACACTGTAACTTTAACCACCCCACACTTTAATTGGATATCCTATATTGTGAGAATGTAATATTTCTGGACATTTTTCTGAGCCATGTGGTGATACCAACAGGCCTATATTAGCTTCTCTTTTTTCTTTTTACCTTTTTTTTTTTTAAAAAGATCTTATTCCCTGTAAAATTCTATTGATTTCAGGTCATTGATGCTTATTTGGGACTTGGACCAAACTATTCTGGTTTTAATTTAACATTGTTTGACGTTGCACCCCCCCCCGCTACAATAATTTGCATGTTTAAAATTCCATCACGTAAGGAGAATTTAAATTACCTTCATGTATCTTTCCCCTACATTTTCATTAATGCATAAGGAATTAAGTATGTGCCAAAGGGTAGAGGAAATTTATTCTCTCTGTGTTGCTATGTTCTTTTTCCCTTGCTTCTCCAGGGCAACACTCTTAATTAACTGTCTTTTAGGTGCAGCGAGGTCAATGAAACTATCACTGCATGTTGTGTAACATTATTATTATTAATAATATAAATAAATAATTGTATATTGCCCTCCATCTGAAGATCACAGAGTAGTTCACAACATAAAAATACAAAATAGAATACATCTGAGCTAAACACCATCTTGCCTAATTTTGTTTTTCTTAGGCTCTGCTAATGCATGCTATATCTACTCACTATACTAATGTACAGTCATACCTCGGGTTACAGATGCTTCAGGTTGCATTTTTTCAGGTTGCGGACCGCCAAAACCCGGATGTACCAGAACTGGTTACTTCTGGGTTTTGGTGGTCATGCATGCACAGAAGCGCTAAATCACACTTTGCGCAGAAGCACTGAATTGCAACCTGTGGATGCGCAGATGCGTCGCTGCAGGTTGAGGACACTGCGGGTTGCGAATGTGCATCCCGCATGGATCACGTTCGCAACCCGAGTGTCCACTGTTTAGTTTATGAGGGAAAGGTTCTTCTGAGTTATTTGTTGTCAATAGTTGTTAATTTAGCCCACTGAACAACTGGAACTCCTGGCCCATACTCACATGAGCCTAAAGTTATCCATATGGAGGAGGTTCATTGTACATGGGCAATTATTCAGTGGTATCTCTTAGGTTTTTTGTTTTTTTTAATTCTTATGAAAATTCACCAGCATTTTAGAGCAAATTTCTCCAAAACCACATTTTATATGTGGTTTTTATCAATGTACACATTTTTGCAAGAATTTTTCCCAAATTCAATCTTTTTTGCATGTTATATTTGATAATAGCTTCATTTTTATACACACATTTCCCTAATGTATGCATTTCTGTAAACGTTGCCTGGAGAACATCATTGCAACATTAGGATAGGGTTAAATTTCGAAGGATAGCTGAGTTTATGTCCGCATTGTTTCAGAAAGTGCAAATCGATGGATTTGGCTGCAGTGCATACTGAATAGATTTTCTCCTCCATCCCTATACGCTTAGTTATGTCCCAGCCAGGGGCGTAGCCAAGGAGGGGGGGCCAGGGGCGCAGCTGCCCCCTCACATCAATACAAACCTGAGGTTCTGCCCCCAACAAAAGTTTGCCCCTCCCCAACAAAAATCCTGGCTACTCCCATGGTCTCAGCTCTGGATTTTGGAGGGTTCTTTTTCTCCTTAGAGACAAACACAGCTGTTTTTGCCTTTCAGTTGAAAGAGTACTCCACAGAGTAGATACCATCATGATCTCCAATCATCACTCAGTTCTCCCATCAGTTAAGTTTGGGACAGAGAATAGTATTTCCCCACCAAACTGATGAAGTGGAGAAGCAAAGATGGGAAGAGGCAGCCAGTAAGGAATGCATTCTTTAATTTTCTTTGTTGTTCAGCCTACACACCCATTCCCAATGCGCTCCAATGACTTGGTCTACTCAGCTTGTTTTCTTTAATACGGAAAGAATCATGTTTCAAAGAAACAATTTCATTTCTTTATAAAAAAAATCTCACTATTTTTTGGCAATGATACCAGTAGGGAGTTCTAGCTAAAATAGACCATATACTAATAATCTCTAAAGTATGGTTGACTCAGGATTTTAACTGTGCCTAATAATGACAAAGCAGGAAGACAAATGGTGAGTGAGACAAGGGGAAGAATAATTTCAGCTGATTAGGCACAAAATAGATAGTCAAAATGAAAGGGGGACCCTTTGCCAAATTAATTTGATGATAGAAGCAAAAGGAATGTTCATAGGATTTATAGTCTTTTTTGTTTTTTTAAGGTTCAGCACTGTGTATTCTCTGAAAAGAATGCCTTGCCGTACAACAAAATGTCAGAGAATCCCAGAAGGTCAGCTGTAGCTTAGTCCTATATGAGATATCAATATGGTGAAACTGTCATCAGACTGACAGAGAAGTGAAAAGTAATGAGATCTTGTTCCCTCCTCTCAGGAGGCATGGCCTTATCTTCATATTAATGTCTAGGGTTCTTTTTTTATTAACTTCAAAAGAAGCTATATCACACGCAGCTGTCACATAAAGAATCAGAACTTATCTAAAGCATGAGGGCATTCATTAACTGGGTATCCAAATGCCTTAGGTAGCTTTGATTCATAATATTTTCAACAGAAGAATGAAATTTGTGTTAATCCTTTCATCCTAACCTTAAACACATTACTTGGAAGCATGGCCCGTTGACTTAAATAGCTTTTCCTCCCAGAACAAGACAAGAATCATTTCAATTTCAGCAATTTATATTGAGTAGTTTTTGTTTGGGTAATCTTCCACTATAGAAGTGCTTGCAGGATCAATGCCATTTAGAGGGATTATTAAGCCCATTGGTGTTCATGGGCTAGACTGGAAATTCCTGTCTCGCAATCTGGCCCAATTTGTGGATGACAGATTTGCTCAGTTCCTTCTCATCCACCTAGTGTGCTAGCGCTGCCTCTACCAGCTCCACATGTGTGCGTAGGACTGAAACTTTGGAATTCAAGATTCCTAATCATGAAAGCAGCTGCTTCAGTCTTCCGCTGAGTCCCTACATCAGCTGTTAATTGGCTCCATGGAAAAATACACAAGCAATCTTTCCAAACATACCGTCTGCACCAGGTCTAAGTGGTTTAGTCCCTTAGCTGGATGTGGTTTGTTATAGCAGAAGCCACAGCCCAGCCTTCTGTCCTGATGCTGACAGGAGAAAATTGAAAAACAAAACAAATAAATACTCTGAGAATACTGTCTGCTGTTATCTCTCAAGATGATTATTTGCTCAAGATTCCATTTTAAAAGGTGATGATAAAACTGGAGAAATGCAGCTTAAGACAACAATATGGAATGGTTTCTCAAGTTTTCAGTCATTTTGACTGTGAAAAAAATGTAGCGGAAAGCACAGAGTTTTCTCTATTCAAATAAACTTTTTGGTAATTCTGATTTATTTGGACTCTCCCCTCCCTTATGGACATAAGAAATAAAGCTGT